AATCAATTTTAATGGATGTGTTGGTGATTCGTTAACGGCTTGAGAATTATCTTCGCTTCATATACGGCATCTTTGTGTATTGGCATAGCCACTTAACCAGAAATGAATTTCAGCACTAAACACGAAGTGCTTTATGAACTTCATCCAATTTAGAAAGAGTATTCACAGCCTATACTAAATGTTATGCATTGCAGTAATTAAAGTTAGAATGGCTATTTCTTTTTAGTTTAGAATAATGGGCATTTCACAATTTCCAAATCATCTTACAATCTGCTTACGCAGGCAGAAGAAAGCCGCTTACGTTTTTCTCCTTTATGGGCCCTTGCTTTATAGCAGTTTTTTTGCAGAATAAATGTATACTTAAGATTCGTTCCGTAACAAGCCTTAAGTTTGTTGTGTGAAGAGCTTGCAGGCTAAGAGAGATATACTTCAAAACCATCATCTTTTCATATATATTTCTTAATAATATTAATTTTAATGAGGCACCTTATTTACTCTTTTATACAGTTTTAATAAATTTTTATTACTAAAATTTTTATGTTAATTGTGTGAATGCAACACATTCTGCATAATAGTATCTTACCAGGTGAAATGTAGAAATTTTTTAAATAATAAAGACATAAGCATTTTTATAACAATAGTTTATCCATAATTTATTTGACATATCAAAAATATTTTTCCATCTTTTGGTTTTTGTAAGTTTTTGTAAGTTTTCGGTTACGACATGTGCATATTTTGCAGTGAAGTCAAAAAGAAAAGAAAATCATTTTGTAATGAAAACTTTCAATACAATGCTCGTATCTACGTGATAAGCATAGATAAAAATTTAAAAATATAAAGAAATTTTTATCATAATTAATAAAATATTTATTTTACTTATATCATATGCCAGTATACACATTAAACTGTCCGGGTAATTACAGTTCAAAGACTAAATCAATTTGTAATTCAATTTTCAATCAATTATAATTACGGCAAAAAATTTACTTCAAAGCAAGTTACAATAAAAAATTTGTTAAAATATTTTTCGAAATTTTTTTATAAAAAAGGAAATGGCCATGACATAAAAATTTGTGGCAGTCAGTAACTCATTTCTAATAATAATTTCGCCAGACACGCAGCCATTGAAGAAACATAATTAAAAGTAAAAGTTTCTCAATATTTTTCTATAAACTAAAATTATGGTTAGAGCAATTTTTGTATTGTGAAAATATTTTGTTTTTTAATATAAAAAGTACTTTTTACTTAAAATCTTCTTCAGAAGTTTTGTTGCAATTATGTGGAGTTAATATGTTTTAGCTTAAAATTGAATTAAATCATATCTACATATTCTTTGTTTTTTATTGTTATTAAAATAGTTATATGATGAAGTCAAGAAATGATTCTTCCTGAAAATAATTATTCCACAACGCCACCTTCAGCAAATACACATCATTTTTTAAAATTAAAAATGCTATCCTTTTAAGGTTGCCATATATCGTAATAGTAATCACTGAATTTTAACAGTTTAAGTAAGGGACAAGTAAGCAGTAATCATTTACAGAATATTTACAGAATATCAAAAAAACATAAATTAAATCCTGTATTAACTTCACACTAAAGTTGAGGAGAAAACCCAAGACACATTTCATTTTTAAGTAGCAACATTCCGATTATACAAATCAAATTTTTATAACATTTCTTCCATAATGATCTACATTTGGTTCAGAGCCACTTCTTTTAATACACAATAAAACACAATATCATGTTTTCCCAATATAAGTAATCCCATATGGTTTCGCTCTGTACCCAAAGTCAAATTGGTACATTAAGTAGGTCCCTAGATATTTCTAGATGTTGCACAAGTATCATTTCTTTTATTTTGTAAAGCGCATTATACTCTTGTCTGTACTCTACTACAATTTCTACTAATAGTATTTCTGTCTGTACCCAAAATAGTACCCCATCTAGCTAATTCTTCAATTTCATAGTGCTTTATAATCCATATTCAACATATCGTTAAAAAGATGTTGATATTATTAAGAGTTACGAGGCAATTCTAAATAACCTTTAGTTTAATACTCCAATATCACAGTGCTTTGTAATCCATATTCATTAATAATATATTCATACCACTAAAAAGATGATGATATTATTTAGAGTTACTATATGCAATCCTAAATAACCTTAAATCTTAGTACCACCAATTTCATCGATTTGCTGTTCGTCTGAGTATACAAGTACATATTTCTTCTGGTTTTATTTATCGCATATCTATTTAAGTAAGTAGCACTTTCTTTGATTACTAAAATTTCTACTTATTAAATACTACATTGGTCAAGTAGTTGACCAGACAGTTCAAACGTGAATCCTTAAAGAAGGCTCTGAGTCCCATTTTTTCTTCAAACTTGCAGCTGATATCAGACATATAAATAGTATTTATATTATTATCACACGAATAATTGATTATAAGAAAACCAAAAACAACAATTTGTTAAAGATTTCAAAAAGTGTTTGAAACTAATTAAATACAGGCAAACAACAAGACCTGAAACTTGGACGCAACCACTACTCACCAAAATATTGATACTACTACCAACTTACTTCCTTTAATATTATCAAAGTAATACATAGCTGAGTAGGGATACATTAGCGAAATTTTAACCTAAACGATCTAAAACGCAAATGGAGTTGATTAGCGAATAGAATATTAAAGATTAAAATTAAACTACAAAAGCTTAAATATGCAGTGCACTTCTTAAACAACAGATAATGTGAGAAAGCTCTCATAACCTCCAAAATTTGACTAATTGAAAGTACTTTAAAAGCAGTTGTTTAATAAAAACAAAAAAGAAATTATACAGGTGCTCTATAGGTTGGTGGAATCATTAGCCTATAATTCTTCAAAGAAACTGCCCGTTTTAACGTCACGTTTAATGGATAGCGCTCTAGATTTATGAAGTTTTTTTCCCAATTATGTAATGTTAATATGCAATCATATTAACATTAAAGGATAAGCTATACCTCTAGGGCTAATTTAAGCCTTGTAACACAATATTATGTTATGTGTATAATATACCTGTACATAATATTATAATACATAATCATAGTTTCAAAAATATTAATATATTTTTATGGTGATTGCTTTTTTTAATGCATTTAAACAAAGTAGGTTTAAACCAAACCAAAACAAAATATTAAATATTCTTTATTTTTTTTTATATTTAAATGTTGATTTTATAGTTTAATTTTTAATTATTTTTTACGCAGTTTCACGTAATCTTGCATCATTGGCATAACATCATGCATTTATATTTAGGTTGACTGATCGTTTGAAGTTTATTTCTTCTAGAAATTGTCATTAAAAATTGTCTCAAAATTTCTCTTCATATTATCTTGCACTAAAATCTATTCAAGTGTTTGTAATTATTTTTTTTTTTTATGGAACAAAAAATTAGTAAAACTTTATAGTGTATTTTTACTGATAATTTTATGAGACAAATTGCTTTATTCATTTAATTTGTGATCAACATACAAAAAAAAATTAATTTTTGCTTTTAATTGGATCTACAGATACTTTTCAATTCTTTACCTTTACATTCTCTTTATAATCAATTTCAAAATTACTATACTTTTTATTTTTATAAGCAAGATTTCACATATTTACACGTATTCTGTAACAAGCCCATTAATTTTGAGATTAAACAACACAATTTACATTATAAATTTCAATACAACTTTAAGTAGAAATTTTAAATAAAAGATTGAGTTCGATATAGTATATAAAACAAAAAAGAGAATTTCGTATAATAACTTTGCTGCAGATATCGTTAATATTCAAAAATTTGGTTACAAATTCTGTGTTTTCTAATAATACAATACAGTAAGACCCCGCTTAAGGCTGTTTCGGTTTAGGGCTCTTTTATTTCAACCCGAACATTTCAGCAAATGTTTAATAAAACAGACGGAGAAGAGAAGCAATCAATAAGAGAATTTTGGAAAAACTACAATATCATGAATATTGTAGAAAACATAAACCTTTCTTGGAATGAGATAACAGAAAGATCTTTGAAAAGAGTATGGAAGAACATTTGACCAGATTTAAGTAAAGGCGAAGACATTAAACCCTCTATCGATATTGATAGAAATAGTGGTATTAGCGAAGCAAACGAGTTAAGATGAGGTAAAAGTGGATGACGTCAAAGAAATAGTTCAAGAAACAGCAGATAGGAATTAATTGAGCAAGAAGAAAACAAAAATAATTATTGTAGTGATTTCGAAGAAAAGCAAAAAGAACTTTCGATATTGTTTTTAAAAAAAAATTTGACCACTACAACTGAAATTATGGACCAATCTGTTGAAATTGATTCAAATTTTGGCAGAAGTTCAAAAGCAAGACGGGGTATTATAGATGCTTTATCCACTTATAAACAACTTCTAACAGAACGTAAAAGAAAAATCGCAAACTACATTAGATGCCTTCTTGACAAAAAGGCAGAAGATTGGAAACACAGAATAGACTAAATAACATTGTTTTTTTTTGTAAGAAATATTTGGTTCTATTATTATTAAAAAAACATAAATATTAAATTTAATACCTAAGCAATTTTCTATCAAACTTCCCCTAACCCCAATATTTACATGTTAACACAGCCTCGTTTAGCGCTGTTTCGCATTACGCTCTACTTTGATGAAACATCCCAGGCGTTAAGCGGGGTCTTACTGTATTTACTTTCTTAAATGCAAAAAAAAAACTTTTATAAGCTATCGCATTAGTATATAATACTGCGTAGTCTTTTCATATATAAAACCAAGCTAATTTTTAAAGCTTTTATACACCAATAATAAAAAATTAAACAATAATTACAAGGAGTACCCTCACTTCTTTTTTTAGGGTCTGTAATAATAATATTAATAACATATAATTATTTGTTTATATTAAAAGCAATATTTAATTTTAAAAAACTTATACAATTATACAATTATAATTATGAAAAAGATGTAGTAGTTAATTTTTATCTTTAATTGCATTCAAACTTCTCTTCTACATCCTTTTTCATCTCTGAACGATATTTAATCACTTCACATATAAATGCCAAAATAGCAATTAAAATTCCCAAAACCCATATTAATAATATACCAGCAAAATTTGACATACCCAATTTTAAAGGACCTAAATCTGCTTCCGAATAAGAATTCATCGAAGCCTTAATACGCTTTTGTACATCATCATCCATATTATCAGCTACGATACGCCATTCCCAAAATTTATCTAAGCCAGATGAATGCCACATATAAATAACTTTATTAAAATTATCTAATAAAGGCCAGACCCGTGTAACAAAAGCAACAGTATATTCAAAATAAATATCATCTAGCATGATTTTAAGATGATCAATAGCTGATGATGATAAATAATCACCTGCAGCATAATGTCCTAGAAAAGTATTATTATATATAATAAAATTCTCTTTTATATATACAAATCTCCTATGATTAAACGATTAACTTACCAAATGGTAAACGTTCCACAGTTATTCCAATTTTACCTTCCAAAGCAAATTGGGTTAGCTCTTCATCTGTATAAATATGAAAATTTTTTAAAATATCCCGGACTCTTTCCTAAAATGAAAATTAAAAAAAATATATTAAGGAGATTTTTTGAACAGAAGAGAATGGCAACAACAATATTTCATTATTTTTAATTAATTGAGTTTTTGACTGACCATACAGCTGTTTTGAGTATTGCCAAATACCCTTAATCAGTATTAATTTTAGAGATGTTTCTTACATTTTGATATTCATTAATAATTTTTTAAGACTAAAAATACCAAGGTTTGAACTTCTATTCACGCAAAATTGTAAGCTCAAAGTCAGTGTTAATTTTCCAACTTGAATTCTAGTTGATCTGATATATAAGATTAAACATTAATACTTACATCGTCACTGTTTCTTAACGATAAAACCCAAGCTTCAGAATCGGCCGCCCATTTAAGACGCATAGACTGTAAGCGTTCCAATGTATCTGCTGCACCACCAAAACTGATGATAAAATTGATTATTTATTATTCGTTATAGCATTATAATAATAGTTGATAACTAAATATTAAATTTAATGTCAATTTGTCAAAACCTCTACCTGGGTACAGTCAAAATACTTGCTAGACCACCTCCATAAATGCTTGTTATGATAAGATCATTTAGAAAACACGCAAATAAAAGTACACGTACTGATATAGTTGTTACTTGAGAACTACCTGATTGAGATATAAATAGTTTTAACGTAGTAATATAACTAAATTTTAAACTTTGAATCCATGACTTATTTTGATCAATAAGATATTGTTCAATTCTACGTGTCATTAATAGTCCTAATGTTTCAATGCTTAGACATATAAAAACAGCCAACCAAAGACTGGCCTGAAATGGTTGAATTGGTAACAACCAACTGGCCAAACGCCTAAAAATAGAGCAATAATGTTATTAAATTTTTTAAAAACTAAACAAATAAAATAGAAAACATATTAGCACAGAAATATTCGAACATATATGTAATATGTAATATATGATACTTGTGAACCCTTTACTTACTCTAGTAATGTTTTATTTATTTTATATACGAAAGCGAAAAAATAAATATATCTTCTAAGTGGATATACAATATATAAAATATAAATTAAATTATAACGTAATCATATATGCAATATTATTTCGCTTTCTTAAAAATATAATAAAATGTAATAATTTCTATAGAAAATATTTTTTATATATATTATAGAGGATTAATACCAGACCTGTAGCCAGAGATTTACTTTAGGAGGTACTTTGAGTTGAATTTAAAGAATATTTTTTTATTTTAAAACAGTCATAATGTATTAATATTGAATATACATATGTATAACTATAATCCACCGATGTATTTCGGTGAGCTTTAGCTCCTCAAGTCCCACCCCTGGCTACGTGCCTAATTAGTATATTATATGTATATTATAATCGAATATAATACATATGTCAATAAAACAGTAAGTTGAAAAATATAATACTTACACAGGCGCAGGCACTACACAAGTAATGCCAGAACGTACTAGATACATAGAAATATCGGCACATCTATACGCTGTATACCTAAAATATTTACCAAAACATTTTCTTATATATGTTGTTACTTCGTCTATATTAATTTAAGAACTCTGAGTAAAACTCGTAGGATATTTTATAAAATTTGTTCTTAAACTGCATTTATAAAAAGAGTTCTTACAACTACTAAGTTGTGTGAATTTGTAATATATAGAAACAAAATATCTGGAGTTCTTAATTTATATAGTATGCAAATAATATATCTTAAAAACTTATAGCACATTATTTATTGATTGAATATTGTTGTAAATGAACTCCTTGACAAGTGATACTAAAAATTAATCTAAGAACTGTAAACATTGCTATCAATTTATCGAAAAAAAATTATTAGATATCTTTACTGCACGTTATTTAAATTTATATAAATGTTTTTATAACATACCAAGAATACATTGCTCCAACAGAAATCTCGGCATTTTTATTTGATATTAAACCCAATGCACCGTACCCAGTCATATTTGGATATAACATTCCCCAATCATCTTCGGCTGCGGGAGATATTTTAAAGTTATATAAAATTATATTTGAAAAGTAAGACTTACAATCATCAATCTCCATTGTACAATTATATACTTCACAAAATGCAGATACAATTCTTCCTTCCGTACCATCTAAATAACTCAAAGTTGGGGCATTGTCTTCGGAAATTAATTCTTCCATTCTGTCTGTTGAATTCTAAAGGATTTAATTAAAATATACATTATTTATATTCTGTTATTAATTTATTTTGCTGTAATTCCTTTCATAGGACCTGAACTTTCGTACAGAATACTTAAAAAATACTTTTCACCACTTAAAAAAATACATAATGTTTGCGCAAGCTTGGGAGTTTCCTAAACCCAATCCATTGAAATTCATTTTATTATATTCTGAAATTGTACTTAAATTTTTTCTACTAAAAAAAAATAAAATTTATATTATTTAAATAAGGCACTAAAAACTAAAAATAAAATAAATTTGGCTGTAGAACAGGGGCTGTAGAACAATGCCCCTGCTATTACATCCACAAAACAACCAGTGACCAACTTCTTTCTCTATAAGTAAGCGAAATAAATACTTTTACTCATATTCAATGGAAGTAATAAAGTTTTCAACATAAGAGCAGAAATACCTTAACTCTCATTTCTGTTTTTAAAAAATTATAAATAATAATATAATAATAATAAATAATAATATAATGTAATAAAATAATATAGTACATAATTTATTATTTACATTGTTGCCAAATATTATTTTGACACTCACCTGTTGTGGCTTAATAATTATGGACGGAGCATAACTTAAAGCAGATAATTTAATCTCACGCCCCTGTAAATCTTTTATTTTATTCGGAAATAGATCAATATTATATTTAAAAACTTCAGTTTCGGCATTGAAATAATCCAGTATATACATTTGACTGGGTCCATCAGCTCGTTTTCCAACATATTTATTTGTTTTCAAATAAAAATTATTTCTATCATTTTCAGATCCCTCAATCAATAAAATATTGGGTTGATCTAAAATTAAGATTATTAATGATATATAACAAAGTCGTTCGTAATATATTAAAACTAAAAAGATGCTATCGTCAATGTTACTCGAAAAGTAATAAAAACTTAATTAATGTAGTTATTATTGGTCACAATGTTCACCAAACGTGACTATGGGGTAGGCATCTGTCGATTTGGTCTTAATATTTTTACTTTTCTTATTTAATTACAGATAATTAAATTAATTATAATATTAAAGCGTTTATACATACACTTTAGTGTGACCGAAGAAGATATTTTCAAAAATATTTTTCAATATTAATTTACTACCAATTAGCTTAACTAAGGTCATAGTAGCTATACAAAATACATTTTCGAGTAAGACGTTTTATTAGTAAACTTCATTAACAACTTATATATTTTATGTAAAATTAAATAATTTAATATTTTTTACTGGTACCTTCAAAAAATTTATGAATGAAATATTCCATACTTTCAGAATCATTATTATAAGCAAATATAAATTTATTATTCATCGAATGCCAAATTGAGAATTTACTGGCATTAGTAAATGCTTCCACAAAAATCGGTATATCCGATTGAAATATTAAGAAATTCTGAAAATTTACAAAAAAAATAATAATAGAGTATATATGTAATGTATTGATTAATTTTTAAACAATTAATAAATAAATAAAAAATGTTATCCAATAAGTGGTTTATATACGATTTCACTAAGAGTTATACTAAAATATTTTATAATCATTTTTTAAATTATGATAATAATCATAAAATGATTATTTAATCATATTGATTGTTCTATATTTGAATTTTTTATGTTAAATAATAAAATACCTTCAAAAATAAAAATTAATGAAGACCATTTAAGCAAGCACATTAATTCCATTTAGAAAAAAAAAAATATTCATGTCCATAATATTTTTCTTGAGAAAATGAATATTACTGTAAGTAATATCAGAACTATCGGAACGATAGAAAGGTTTCGAAAAATAGTGAACGTTATTTATAAATTTACAATTAGTGAGAGTTTTTTTACAAGGTTTTTTTAGTTTCTCTCATACAAAATTAGAACTCCATCTTCAACGATGACATATAGATATTTTTCAGTGGATATCATCGTTATATCCATTAAATAGAATCTAGAGATAGCCTTTATCTCCGAAGTATAACATATCACAGCAAATAATTATTGTACTAGTATATTATATTATTACAACATACAGATTTTTTCAGTTTATATCATTGTTGTCCCCATTACATAGAATCTCGAGATAGCCTTTATCTCCAAAATATAACATATCACAGCAAATTGTACTAGAATATTATATTATTGAGTTTTTCCCTTATAAGATAACACAATGGGCCAATAGCCCTAAGCGAATCCATTTGAATCACCGGTACAAGCTGACCTAACCTATCCTAAACCTTTAGCGAAATCCTAATAAAGTTAGAAGAAATATATATAAATAAATAAATCCAAAATGTATACGAAAAAACAATATATATAATATATATAATATAAAACACATTACCTCGCAATGTGAATATTCAATGGATATAGTTAATTTTTCGACAAAATTATCGAAATGAATACCATTATCTTTAAGTTCGTTACGTTTTATATTATGATCCACAACATCATACTCAAAAGATTCACTCTCCTCACTTCTAGTTAAACTTATTAGAGCATAAATTGCGTTAACTTCAGTCTGTTGCAATTCCAATTGGAAATCGAAATCTTTATTCCAAATGACACAGAGTGTATTATCATAAACATATTTTTGTACTAATTAAATATAAAAAAAAAAAATTTTAATTATTTTATGTTTGCAAATTACAGAAATACATTAATAAAATTAAATTCTTACTTATTAAATTTAAAATAATATTCCAAGAAATATTTTGTGTTAACATATTTAATAAAAAACTTCAACAACTTCATCGATATACTTTATCATCCTTTTATATAGCTTCTATATATCAAACAAATAAAAATCCAATTATTATTTTATGTGAATATGAAACTTTATTTACACAGAAATTATATGAAAATTACTAAAAATTTAGCTGAAATTTTATTATTCCTTCTAATTGAGTCATTTGCTAAATTACTGAAAAAACTAAACGATTGACCAATAAATAATGTCAATATAATATTTTCAGCAATGAATGAATTTAATGTCAGACCAGCATTAAAAATGTGGGAAAGGTTTATATGTAAGATATAAGTTAAACACTTTTGGATTATTTTTCTTTGGTGAACTTATTAAAATTTAATAAATTGTTTCAATAACGTAAAATTTTAAAGAATGATTTGATTTCAAATAGTTTTCAATGAAATTCTTTAATCATCAATTTATTCTTTTCAAGAAGATATACATTATAAGCAACACGGTGTTGATTACCTAAGCTACTGGAATAGTTTCTGCATAGCCTCTAGAACCAATTAAAGTTTACCTTGTGAAATTAGCATAAATAATCAAATCTTATTCTTATGTTCAAATATTTCCAACTGTGAGCTTCAAAATAAAAGTTAGATTTAATGGTCTTTCAATGAGCAACATACTTATATTATAAATATTTCAATATCTTAATTTAAAGAATTCTATGAATTTATGCCTAGAAGGTATTTTTCAGAGAAACTATTTATTTATTACTTCATTTTTTTAAATTGTTTAAATTTTTATTAAAACTTTTGAAGAAACAGCAGGTATTCAATAATAATATTTTCTATATTTCCTATAAACATTATAAAGGTTAATTAATTTGTTAATGAACTATCTTTATTACGATATAATATGAAATAAAATTATAATTTGTTTTTAAAAACAACGTTTTCTCATATATCCTCTTTTTTGACTTGTTTTTCATATATTATATTTGATATATTTCATTTACAAAACTGTAATAATGTTTTATGGTTTAAAATGACACAATGTATCAATATCAATATAGGAGCATACTGATTTAGAAGACTTGGACTCAAATTTCATATAATATCAAATGTGTTTTTAGCTGCATGAGACATATCAATATCAAACTCTGTTAACATTTTTGTTCATTAGGATAAATCGTTTAACGTTATAACACTTACAAATTGTAAAAATTTACTTTGAAAAAAATAAATCTGTTCGCGAAGTTCACAGAGCATTTCGTCCATTTTACGGTAAACATAATTGGCGTAGCGAGCAAGCTTACTTACTTACTTATGTGGCCATAACAACCCGTTACCGAATTTCGGCCTGACGCAGCATGTCTCCCCAGGCGCCTCTGCTGCGTGCGCGCCATCTCCAGTCTGGTATATTAAGTCCAGTTAGTGCTCCCTCAACTTGATCACTCCACCGGAGACACGGTCTACCTCTACGTCTTCTTCCGCCAACTACTGCTTCAAACACCTTTTTCGCCGGAGCGTCTTCATCCATTCTCACGACATGACCAAGCCAGCGAAGCCGCTGGATGTTAATGCGCAGAATTATATCAATGTTGTGATAAAGCTCGTACAGCTCGTGGTTCATTCTAATGCGGTAGTCGTCGCCAACTCGTAGAGGACCAAAGATATTACGAAGAACAAGTGAGCAAGCAATTCGTACAATTATTGATCGTTTTCGCACTAATTTTACTCTTCTCGATTCAAAACCATTAATATTGACTATTTGGTGCGGTTTACACAATGGCGGCATCATCGGTTCTTATTTTTTTTTCGAAATGATGAAGGACCAGCCGTTACAGTAAATGATGAGCACTATCAAGCCATGTTGACTAAATTTCTGTTTCTAAAAATTTATCAATTAAACATCGACGACGTTTCGTTCCAACAAAACTGTATGGCGCAACTTGCCATACAGCTTAAAAATAGATTAATTGTGAAATCAATTTGGTGACAACTTTATTGCCCAAAATGGTCATGTCAACTAGTCCTAGCTCCCTCATTCGTGCGATTAAACGGCTCCCAATAACTATTTATGGGGCTATGTTAAGTCATTGATTTATCCTGACAAACCAGCAACTCTTGAAGCATTGTAAGATAATCTCCTTGCCACCATTGACGCCATACGGTCACATTTATTGCAAAAAAATAGTTAAAAATTGGAATGATCGAATGGACCATATAACTCGTAGGAGTGCCATCGTATATCACAAATTAAATTCTTTAGAAAAATCTTTGTCAAAAAAACGGTAATATTTTTTGTGAAATCAGAATTCGTTAATGTTAGATAAGACTGGTACCCAGAAAACTTTCTTTTGTGACTTGACACTCACACCCTAAAAAGTGTACCACCCCACCATTAGCCAAAACTGAACTTACCTTATTATTTGTTATTGTTGCTACAAATCTGTTTGCCTCCTTCTCTTCTACAATTACCTTTTCATCTTTTAAGAAAATGAATACCTATACTGGAACATATATCTATCTATTCCTACTAACTTTATATGAAATAAGTGAAGGTTCTAAAAATAAGAACAATTTGTTATAATTAAATTGCAATTATCCACGTATAATGTATGTATATCGTAGTACTGTTACGACTTAAATAATTATGGTTAATCTCTAACAAAGAAAAAAAAAATTTAAATAAATTAAATAAATTTATTCAATTCATAAAAAAAATAAAAATATAAAATAATAAATAAAAAACTTTCATTATTATTGAATGGTTACATATTTCTATCAATCAAGATCTATTCTATTTGGTATTATTATTATCATATTTTATTTATCATATATAAAAATCGTGTTATCATTGCAGTTGTCATATATACTCGTACGTATTATCTTAATACCTTAAAAGTAGTTGTAATTTATTATTTAAATGACTAGACTTGAGAGATTGTATATAATAACAACAGCTCCTCATTAACAGTTGATAACTACTATATACAACTTTGTTTCCATATGTAATTTTTTTTTTTTATTTATCAATTAAATATCAAGGAATTTATTTTTATAACTTTACTTTCAATTTTCTTTAATTTTTTATAATAAAATTCATTTTCTTTTTTTTTCAGGTAAGTTGAAAGTATAAATAATAACTATTAAGTATTCTGCACTATAAGGTAAGTTTTTGTCCAACTTAATAACAGACTTGTTTTATTTGAGTGCATCTGAATGTGTGTTAGACCTAAACCGATTTCATTTTATAGAATATTGTATCAACACTTTCAAGTCAACATTATATAAAAATATATTTTACTATATGCGTTATCATTCCTAAAATTTTGAGATCTTTTTTTATATGTGATTGTGCTGTAAGAACGCATATGACTATGTCTCTGATGTCTTTCACACAAAATTTAAACATTATATGTACCTCAAATAGTTCAGAAGAAAGGTGTTATATATATATGACCATCAAAGCTCATACTTGGTAATTAAGAATAAAAATATATATACAATCGCATTATGTACTAGTGAAATAAATTAATTTAATAAATTAATTTAAATAAATTTAGTTAATCCAAATATTGCCCACTTTCTTCAACTGTCTTCTGTGCCATGATTAACACCATTCCTCCTTACAAATTTTGAACACTTTTTTTCAATTCCTTTGATATTGAACTCAATATCAGAAATAATTGTTAACAGTACACACTTAACTTAATAGTCTTGATATAGTAACTTATATCATGACCTATTATCATATATCATAACTTTCTTTGTTATCATTGTCGGTTTTACCACCGGTTATGGAGCTTAATCTTTCTTTGACCAAGATCATTTTATTAAAACATTATCAAAGACGATCCTGCGTTCATCGGCTGATCCACATACTTTAAAAAATGACTCAATTTTTTTCCTTGTTAAAGGGAGATTATTAGATGGCAACCCTCTTTTTGTATTCTGATTTGTTGCTAATTCACATTTATCTAATACTTTATCAAATTTGAGAGATTTTTTAATAGAAAAAAAAGTCAAAATTATTTACAACACTATCTTGATCAGACATTGAAAATGTCCTCTTTAAGTTTATTTTAATTAATAAAATAAATAAATTCAATAAAATTAAATTGATTTAATTTAATCAATTTAATAACAACAAAGCAATCAGCTACAACTGTTCCAATATTATTTTACTTTGATATATTATTTTACTTTAATATTTAGCTAATTTAATTGAAATAAAAAGAAAATAAACATATTTTCATTAATGTTGCTTAAAACTCAATGATCTAATTAAGCTATATAATATAATTTAAATTAAATGCAGCAAAACTGAAAATATATGTAATTAAAGTATACTCTCAATTTTAATCTTCAATTAAAAGCAATTGTCACACATAGGTAATTTTGTAAAAAGTAAAACAATTACAAATTATTTAACAAACAAATGCAACATATAACTAAATACATGCTTTATGAACTTAAGATTTAGTATGTACTTTCACCAGTTTTAATTTAATTTCTAGTTCGAAATAATTAAATAAAATTTTGCAACAACAAACTGTCACCTAAAAATCTATCCCTTAATTTATTACCTAATTAGCAATAGGTTTAAGTGAAAGGGTTTATTATAATTACACATCACTTAAGTTACACATCACTTAGCTAGATACTAAATAAAAATTTAACTTAATAGATATTTTTATTACAACTTTAATCCTTTTTTATTAATCCTTTTTGGTATAATGATTTGTCTTTCCTCTTAAAATTTGGTTCACTTTCAGCAAGTATTCTACATTTGAGGAAAATTGATGTTTGCAAAAAGTTAAAAATAATTAAAGACTAGCTTGAGAGAGTGTTGTGGTTAGGAAAGCAATCCGAGACATAAATCATTCAATTTTATCACAATTTTGAAGGCATTCCCCCTTGAAAATAGATTTATTATTATATATTAGGCTATGAATGCACCCCGACCTGAAAGATCTATTGTGCGCGTAAGGCCCAACTAAAACAATTCTAGACTAAA